TGGCCTCCAACCTAGAAGCGATGGCCTCCAACTTACTAGCGATGGCCACCAACCTAAGAGCGATGGCCTCGGAGGGATGGCCTCCAACCTAGAAGCGATGGCCTCCAGCTTACTATAGCGATGGCCTCCAACCTAAGAGTGATGACCTCCAGCATACTAGCGATGGCCTCCAACCTAGAAGCGATGGCCTCTAACCTAAGAGCGATGGCCTCCAACCTAAGAGTGATGGCCTCCAACTTACTAGCGATGGCCTCCAACCTAGAAGTGATGGCCTCCAACTTACTAGCGATGGCGATGGCCGCCAACCTGGAAGCGATGGCCTCCAACCCAAGAGCGATGGCCTCCAACCTAGGAGGGATGGCCTCCAACACTCTAGCGATGGCCTCAAACCTAGAAGCGATGGCCTCCAACTTACTAGCGATGGTCTCCAACCTGGAAGCGATGGCCTCCAACTTACTATAGCGATGGCCTCCAACCTAAGAGTGATGGCCTCCAACGCACTAGCGATGGCCTCCAACCTAAGAGCGATGGCCTCCAACCTAAGAGCGATGTCCTCCAACTTACTAGCGATGGCCTCCAACCTAGAAGCGATGGCCTCCAACTTACTAGCGCTGACCTCAAACCTAAGAGCGATGGCCTCCAACCTAAGAGCAATGGCCTTCAACCTAGGAGCGATGGCCTCCAACCTAGGAGCGATGGCCTCCAACCTAGAAGAGATGGCCGTCAACCTAAGAGGGATGGCCTCCAACTTACTAGCGATGGCCTCCAACCTAAGGGCGATGGCCTCGAACCTAACAAAACAGCACAAGCAGCCAAACAAAAACACAGCAGCAAAACGGACAATGAAGCCCTGCGCACAAACACAAAACACAAACACACAAAAAGATCGCATTACTATCACTAACGCAAATAAACAGAAGGACTACATTAGACCTGACTTTTTGCTCAGGTCCCGGAGGGAGCAATGAAACATCATCAAATCATGAAACGATGTGTATATATTTATAGCCACGGCCTCCACCCTACTAGCGATGGCAACGTAAGAGCGATGGCCTGCAATAACCTACTATTATACCTTATGCTGTTTTGCCCGCATTCGCCGTGCTGCATCCGCTGCGGTTTGGAAAAATCCAGACTTTGTTGTAGCATGCTGCTCTGTGACCCTGTGGCATTTACCAAGACTGTGGCCCTGTGCGGTGGAAGACCGTGGCATCTCCAACAACTGAAGGCTGCGTTGGATGGTAAGTCAGAGAATCAATCACTGCGAACTGCGGCTTGTTTACAACCACCTCACCCAGTAAACCACCAGAAGACGACATACCGTATTGTGCTTAGGGGTAACATCACCAACTCTGCTCCCTACAAACAGAACCAGATCTTGGCAGCAGGGCTCAGTAGGATCGCGATCTCTGTCTCCACCACTGCCGCCACTGCCACATCACCATCCCCCCAGCATCAGCCCCACCAAGAAGAAGAATGACAACAACATCTGCAACATTGATACCAACAACATATCAGTAACGAGTCCTTGGAGAAAAAGGACACCGCGGTGCGGTGCCTGAGTATTTCCCCTTGGTTTGGCTGCTGTTTTCAAAACAAAACCGACGTCGACGCTGGTCTGACGCGACGTCGTCTCTTTCTGGTCAGGGCCGCCGAGCCGGTCAAAGCACCTGAGAGCATGGATGGGTTTCGAAGTGCGTGGAGATAGAATCAAAAATGCTGAAACTAAAGGGTTGGAAGAATGTGCCAAATGATTTGATGTGAAGGATCTTGAAGCAAACACACATCCTAGCTAGCAACACAAACGATTCAAAAGCAAATTCCTGTGTGTTTGTTGGGGAGTTTTATCGCACAGCCTCAGCACTGCCGGGCATCCTGGTTCTTGCTTGAGAAGGCAGGAGTGCAAATTACGTAAATTATTGATATGCTCACTTTGCCCCGTCTGGTCCCAGCACAACGTATCGCTCGATGGTATTGATGTTGTTTTGTGGCGTCGGATACTCTTTCAGGGGTTCCTCACCGCTTCCAGGAATTCAGTGGCAGCGTGTGCTCCGCAGTATCTCCTATATTATATATATATATATAAGAGGTCCCTAGGAGTGAGGTCAGTTCCACTGCCCATCCCTCCGACGCCATGTATAGCTCCAGAAGTCTAAGCTCACTGCGGGGCGTCTTCCTTCGACCTGATGCAAACTGTGAGATGGGGTTTCACCTATGGGCGACAGATCCTGCATTTCCTGAATGGGCGTGATAACAAGCAACACTCACTCGAAATAGTTGGCAAATGTTGGCAATATCAAAAGTCTCCGACATGCTCGGACAGGTCTCAGACATTCTCCGACAGTGCAAAAACGAGGCTGTGCTGCACGCATGAAACCTGCTAAATATCATCAACATACCATGCAACCATGGTGAAACAATGTGAAACATAAACCTGCTAAATAGGGTCGCACCATGCAACCTGCAACCGGTCGAACCGCCAGCCTCCCCATGTTCGGCTGCCGAGGTCCTCACGAGGTGGGCAACAGCTTGGCTTCGATTGAAGTAATCAGGAGAAAAGACCCCCTCTCATGGGTGATTAGGACAAACTTTGGGCTGACTGACTCCAATATACTCCAATAATTAATGACACCACATGACTACGAACCCCAAGTCTGCGCCTCTCCAATGACTTCAGGAAGTGCAGGCGCTGAGACAACCTGCCAAAAGATGCAGCTCGGTGGACGACAGTTGGTGTTTTGGTGGGCACGAGTTTTTTCGGGGGAAACAGGTACAACAACCATGCATTCGCATGCGTTCGGAATGATTCAGCGCCTTGCCATTGGCATAAGTATCGGCTTGGTTGACCTACCTTGTCATTCTTGACATGGTGTTGGGGCTCCGAATTTTAACCCATCCCCACATCCAAGCATATCCAAGCAGTTATCGTCCAATTAGGAACTGAAAGGTCCGACCACTTTTGGAGGCACTTCTTGGCCGGGGGCGGGAGCGGGTTCCCGATCCCCCTACACTCATGACAATGACATTCTAGTCTGTGGCAACTGGCAACACCCTGAGGAACTGAATGGCTAAACGACCTGTTGAGGAATTCGCAGGAACATTATCTTTCGTGCAGATTTTGCTCAGGCCGGTGACAGCCTGCTCATTCCCAGTTGAACCAAAACTGGCATTGTTCTCTTCTGCATTCCTTTTGGCCAAACTGAAAGGATGCCCTGAGGCGAAAGTCAAATGAACAAATATGTTGTTCACGAACATGAGACAGCGCGGGCAACCCGGCCTGCTATTTCGCGACCAGCCGGCCGGCCGGCTGGCCAAGTAGTAGTGGTGGTGGTGGTGGTACTAGTACTAGTACTAGTAGTAGTAGTAGTAGTAGTAGTCGTCGTCGTGGTGGTGGTGGTGGTGGTGGTACTAGTAGTAGTAGTAGTAGTCGTCGTCGTCGTCGTCCTCGTGGTGGTGGTGGTGGTGGTGGTACTAGTAGTAGTAGTAGTAGTAGTAGTAGTAGTAGTAGTAGTAGTGGTAGTGGTAGTGGTAGTGGTAGTAGTAGTTAAAGTAGTAGTAGTAGTAGTAGTAGTAGCAGGAGTAGTAGTAGTAGTCGTAGTAGACTAGTAGTTAGACTAGTAGCAGTACTAGACTAGTAGTAGTACTAGACTAGTAGTAGTAGTAGTGGTAGTAGTAGTAGTAGTAGTGCTAGCAGTAGTAGCAGTACTAGTAGTAGCCGACGGTCGTTGATCAGCCGGCCGGCCGGCCGGCTGGGCTGTGGATCTTGGCCGGCCGGCCGGCCAGCTGGACCGTGGTTCTTGGCCGGCTGGCTGGCTGATCGAGAAATAGCGGGCCGCGATAAGCTCGCAATGAACATGAGATACCCAAATGTTTGATTCCGAGAGGATGTTTGGAGTGGGGGTCGTAGGGGGGTTGGGAGGAGGGCAATGACGCCGCTCGAGGGATGCGTCGACATGCGTGGAATTTGTCCGACTCGAAGCAGCATGGGTGAGCAAATGCAGAAGCAAACTTATGTATTAAGCCTTTCCTATTACTATTGCTATAGTAACCGTGGATGATGATGGTTCAGTTGCAGGCCTTCCAAAAAATTAGGTCAGTGATGTTCTTGCTGACTGACGGCTCTACAGGAAAGAACGGACAAACCCAACATGACCCAACTTATGCATGTCCCAACTTCATCTCAAGGGACTGAATCACGAGGGGGTTTCTATTTGTCTTTTGTGTTGAAACAATGCAAAGACATGATACAATCCGTAGCCGGCACTTTGGGGGGGAAACTTTGAACACGGAAAAGTCTATTTCGTGTGGGACTGCTGACACGAAAGCACGGCCCGAAAGGACGTGAAACCAATTGTGAGTATTAGAGAACTTCTGGGAGGCTTTGCGACTCATTGAGGCGATCGGCATGGTTGAAGCAGTTTGCGGGATTGGTCGTAATTCAAAAAAGGGTTGTTTTTTCTCAAGGAAACAAAGCCCAAACACTCCATGGGACTGCCATATTATGCCGATCAGTTGGGGTGGTTTGGGGGGTCAATGAGGCGGCAGTCCTATGGCAGTGGATCCTCCGTCCAACGGGAAGAACGGTGGATCCTCCGTCCGCATTGCACTTTTGTTATCTTTTGTTGGACGCTGGAATCACGCCGACGATGGTTTCGAGTTCAACTTACAAGAGGAGACGTGCACTGAAGGTCTTAAGTGGACGTAGAAGGTCTTGATTCTTGTTTCTGAATGTCGCTCAACTTACTATCCAGCAACCTTTTGGGTGTTGGTGTTGAGATAATCTGACTGGAAACAACTGCATGAAATCACTTTGTCGGGCTACTGTGGATTCATTCGCTGTTCCAGCACAAGCATTAGATAGACTGGTGGCGATTTTGTCTTTTTGAGTTGACATTGCCAACGGCGTTATTTAGACTCAAAAGGCATATAACATAATGCAACATATGATGGTGCCTTCAGAGGTTATAGGTATACTGATGTTCACCTATCTGTAAGGAGCGTCTGATGAGCACCCCTTTCGGTAACACACTCCCGATGTAAGAGAACCTAAGTAACAATTCCGATTTAAGAGAACTACGTGAAAAAAAAAACCGATGTAAGAGGACAAGGTAGAACCACGAAATCCGAGATCGGGCGACACGGAATGACACAGTATGGGCTTACATCGGGTGTTCTTAAGGTATGTCCATTGGACACTCCTTAGGCTTAAGGGGTGACCAATGAGCACCCCTTGGTTTCCTCTGGTTTTGACTACCGACATGGAATGACACGGATTGACACGCAGGCGGCTGACGTCTCCAGCGACCCGAATCCCAAATCCTGTCCATTCACACTTATCCCTTAAAAAGTTGTGATTCTATACGAGGATCCCTCAAAAGTACTTGTCAAACACTTAGGTTTCTAAGGGGTGTCCAATGGTTTTTAGCTGAAGGGGCGTGCAATGGACAGGACTTCGATGTACCTGGTAGTTGACAGATTGCATGGCCGCAGCCTTGCCTAGCCCCACTTAGAACGGTCGTCAACCCCGCCTCGGCGAGATGTGGCCGCCAGCCTCAGCAAGAGTTGCTTCCATTGGTCCCACCAACAACCAATGGGTCCCTATGGTTGCCTTATATATATTGTTCCTATTGTTGTTACATAAACAAAAGCCATCCGTCTCAATAAAATAACCACCATGATCACTCGTCGTAATGGTCATTCATCCTCCATTCGTCACTCCCATTAAGTAGGACTAGGATAGATCAGTTGTGAGAAGTCTGTGGTGTAGGGGAGGTCTGATGATCTCATGAATTTGGTCTTAGCATGATTTAGATTGATTTAGCATGTTTTAAACTTAACCGATCACTCATTTTTTGGGGGGGTGAACCCGGAAAAAAACATATAAAACATGTTCTGGTTCTATCCGATATCCTATCACCAGAAACCCATGGATGATGATGGTTCAGTTGCAGGCCTTTCTAGAAAGAATAGTGATGTTCTTGCTTTCCGACTGCTACAAGTATAGTAATAGATGGTAAAGGACAAAGCCCAACAATTACATGCTCTGTACGACCAGGTCGTTCGCCCAGCCTCGCTCCGGACGAGCCCAGTGGTGAGGCCTCTTGCGCCGGGCCTCCGCGATTCGCGGAAAACCGTGGGAAGTGTGTTTCGATTTGCGCGTGGGAGTCCAACCGCTAGGTTTGGATGGCAATAAGTGATTGGCACAATCATCTTATTGGTATTCTTAACTATTGACCATGGTGTTGTGATTTCATCTGAATGGTCTACATGCCAGTGGCGACACCCCAATCAATGCTTTCTCTCCCTCACGCATCCCTTGCGAAAGCCTTCAGCACGCAAGGCGGCAAAAACAACCTCAGTATGGGCTATGTGCCGGCACACGGTGGCCATGTTACAGCACATACCCCGTTCTAAGACTCCAAGTACCTCCTCAAAAGGTAGTTAGACCCTCCAAACCCAACGATGACGCGAGAGATCACGAGTATCTGTTTTTTTTGGTAGAGCTGGTGAAGTGTGTTGAAGGACAAGACCCTCACCGCAAAAGGACTTGATGCTTGCACAGTCATCCCACCTGCATGTACACATTCAATCTTTCGTACAATGGTAACATCCACTTGCTTGCGAGGCCAGTTACCCCAAAGTGAGCAAAACCTGGCCGCATGTATACCTCGAAGCAACTACCAATTACATGCCACATAAGTATGGGCAGCTATAAATGTCTTTACAGGATTCATCGCTGAATTTCAGGATTATCAATTCCTCACATGGGATTGCAAACTGACTGCACTTGACGTGGAAGAGTTGCATCAAAGCTACTGAGCCTTCCTCACACAAGCACGAATCTCAACATGCACCCTGTGCCATGGTCGTTCAGAATGCCATGTTCCACTTCCATGACTGTGTGAAGTAGAGTGCAGCTCTCTTGTTGCAAACACCGCGCAAAAGGAGAATCCTATTGGAAAGGAGTGCACACTTTCCGCCCTATGTGGTCAGCGTCCTCCACTGGTGCATCGCAGCATCACAAGTCTTTTTCTTGCGCCATCACGCTCTACCAGGGCTTATCCTCGTAGTCGTAGCGAACGGAGGCACCACTGATCCACACATCCTGAAAACCTCGGTTGGCCACCTCAGCACAGGAGAATGAACATGATGAAATGCCTAAGAACAAAGGGTGGACTCCAAAACACATCCCCTCAAGTGTACTCTGCTCCCGGTTCGAGTGAGTGGCCAAAAGGAAACACCCTGGGAAAAAGAACAATGAATGAGTGATCATCACGAGAACCAGCTCTGGAGTTGGCCAACTCTCTTGTTAAAATACAAAAAATCCAGTACGTGGGGTGTGATCTCATTTCTCATCATTCCTTCTCTCGTGACATTGTAATGATATTAATGATAATCTCTCGGCGATCTATGCACTTCTACAGATCTACTTTGCACCAAATGTTCACCCCCCGCCGCCAAAGTAAGACCAATGGTTTTCTTAAACGACCTTTCGTGAGACGTGGGACCGGGATCCATGGAAGGACACGGGGCCTCGGGGTGCGCCTCGGGTGGCCCCGAGGATGAGTGGGATGAGACGAAAAGCGATGCCCTGCAGCAAAGGCCAAACGGAGATGTCTAGACTGTGGCTACCTCAATCCTGCTGTTGGAAAATAATGTGAAACAGCCAACTTTTTTGTGGCAACTCTGGCACTGTTTGGGTGGTGTCGGTGGTGTTCTCCGAACTTGCTACTTACATGTTTGCAAACGAACAATTGCGAGCACCTTTTAGATGTTCAGGAAGCCTCTGGAAGACGCGCTGCTTTGGATTTTACCCCGGTTCTGGTATAAGTTGACCTGCCACGCTCCATGAACCTCTCTAAAGGCAAGACCAAAGGGGTACCCAAACGATCCGGTATTCGCACTGCCTTCTGCGAACCCCAACCACTTCTACGAACTTCTGCGAAGGCAAAGGGTTAGCACGCGCAAAAAGTCTTCCACGAACTCACCAAATCATCTACGAACCCCGCAAGCTTAGCACGAGCCCCAAAGACCTCCACGAAGCTCTGCGAACAGCAAGCGCATACTTCTAGTCTATACTATACTTAATGCATACCCCGTTCGTTTTGCCATGACTTGGCTTTACAGGACCATATATTCCCCAGTGCAGTTCAATCACAGGGTCCAGGGTGGAGCATAGCCAGTGAATACTACAAGTCAATTTGTTGAAACACGACCTGCAAAAGTACATGCCATGTCTCTCTCTCTGTATAGTTCAAGTTTTCCTTAAAATCTAGGAACCAATTGAATAGCGCGAGCGTGAGCTATCCTGCGTCCTAAGTAGTAGCTACTTAGGATACTATACAGCGACTCCCTAGCTTCTTACTAGCTGCCTACCTTGCTAGCGGCGGACCCCCCCCACCGACCAAAAGGGAAACAACACGATGTCAACATCTCCAAGGCGCTGATCCCCCGATGTCGGCATGCTTCCCGGTGGCGATCTCACTCGGCAGCCCCGCCACGAAGCGCTGCACGCCCGGGACGTTGGTCCAGCGCACCCGGGACGTGGAAGTGGTGCCCGGCGACTTGGAAGGATCCACCTTACGCCTGGTGGGTGGGTCAAACAAACACAGGTGTGACACCTGGTTTTTGGTGGTCAGGTGTGGTCAGGTCAGAATGATGAGAACATGGTCAGCTCAGGTCAGGAACTGAAGTTTCCCTAAGAATCTAGGAACCAAGCGCTTCAAGGAAGCTCCCCCCGCCCTCAGGCGACGGGAGCTTCCTTGAAGAAGCGTAGTGAGCTATCCTGCGTCCATGCTAGTAGCTTAAGTAAGGTACTAGCCACCTCTCCCTTACTTATAAGTAGGCGCCTACTTCACTAAGTAGGGAGAGGGCGGAGCGGGCTTTTTAAAAAATGGACGGTTCGGAAAGGGTTCGGCAAGGTGACAAAGGGTGACAAATGGGGACGACCAATGATGTGTGAGTAGATGCTTGCTAGGCAAAAAAACTTCAAAAATGAGATGGGCATGGGGTATCCGGTGGCCCCTCAAATTAAGAAACATGGAAGGAAACAACGGATCCTGCAAACGGAATGGGCACATGTGCATCCACGTCTTCATGTCCAGTGTAGTAGGAAACCAAGGACCATCATCCACCAACCATGCTTTCGAGATCTCGGGTCAAGCGTGGTCGGCCCCAAATCAATCCATAGGGATCCCGTCGTACCTTCTCAGAAGGTACATGTACTTGGAACCTACAAACCTACATAACAGTGTCTCCAATCATCTTCTGAGAAGGTGCCGCTGAATCCCTAGGGAATGCTAAAGCTGCCTCGCAGCTTTAGCGATGTCAGCGGTGCCTCAAGCGCTCCCAGTCCTGAACCTCGTCTTCACTGGGAGCATCATCCTCAAACTCCTCCAAATCAAGGTTCCTGAGTGATAGAAAGGAGATAGAACATGTTAAGGGCTTACTTATGGGTTGCCTCAGCGGTGCCTGTTGCGTCACCAGGCCAGGTCTCACCGGTGCTTCCCAGCTGCGGTGAAGCGTCCGGGTCCATTGTAGGTCCGCCCTTCAAACAGCGGTGGAAACTGGAGACCGGAGAACGGGTCGCGCCACCGTGTGCAGGATGGGCTAGCACAGCCAGCTTCTTCTGTGCAGGAGGATGGGATTCAGGCTTCGAAAACAAGCCTACGTACATATATATGGCAGGGTCGGGCAACACACGTCTATACACAAACACGCGACAACATGTATGTGGCCTTGCCATGCCAAACTTCACCTTTTGTATATCACCTTGCCCAAACCCAACTTGTCATCTTCACATAACATACAAACAACTCGTGTATTTGATTAAAAGCATGGCCTTGGTAGTTAAAGTTTATATCGACATGCCTCAAACTGGAACAAGGTTTTACCAACCGAGGCAGCTGCCCGAGTCAACCTCAAAATAAGTCGTGTCATCAATGTGCCCCATGAATTGCACTCTTGAAAGTGTGAACATCTGGAATCTGGAAGCTTCAACTTTGAGCTAGACTTGGACAACCAGCATCTTCTAACTCGCTTTTCCGAATTGCAGTCAACCCACATGGTTACCACTGCTGTCCTACTTCAAGAACCCTAAAGTTTACGCTTCTTACTCTGTTCCAACATGAC